AGCACCAATATTTGGATCATCTCTAAGGTTACTCACAGCATTGCTAGCTACCCACTTCTGAGATGGAGTTTTAGTTATCGTCCTCATGGTAGACACACATGTATGGTGATCGACCAAAACTGTTACCTGCAAAACACAAAATCAATGAGATTCATATTAATTTACAGGAAAAGTAGAATTAATAAAAACAAATAAATTTATTCACCTCTACAGTGCTTTGGCCTTTATGTTTGGTGCCATTTATTCTCCAAGGGCAATCACCACCGGACCTGCAATAAGCCCTATATCTCGTCGTACATGACTTCTCAGTTCCTAAATCAAACTCCTTATTGATAGCAAATTGTCGCACTACCATCGTGAACTCCTCCATTTTTGGTATATTGTACCAATATCCATTGGGGGTTGTTCTTATAATATGAAATCACCATCCCACTTGGTATAGCATCACTTGTAGGAATGGCGGCACCCTCAGTATCAACACCCTGTTCATTCATTTGGCCTTCATCAACATGTGTCTCCTCTTCTCTCAAGCCTAGAATTTCACACATCTGCTTTTCACTCACAAGTGCAATACGACCTTCGTCATCATGTGTCTCCACTATATGGAAAGCTATCCCAATCAACACTTTGCACATGATCTACTTCGGACCTACACAAGTGAAATCAATTTTAATACCATGACCCTACCACTGTACAGGTAAAATAACATAAATAATTAACACCGTTACCTTTGCACATCAACAACAAGAAGATTGTATTCTACTGCTGGAGGAGGAGCAATGGGCAGCAACGTTCTCGCTAGGGCTAGGGCATTGGACATGGCGTCGGCACGGGCAATCGCAGTGGCCTCCGGTGGGGCTTCGTCAATCATGGCGTCGGGGTTGGGTGCGGCAAAGCCTGAGGCCATTGTGTCTAGGCCAGAGGCCGGCACGGCCCGCCCTGTGGCCATCACGGCCATGCCAGAGACCGGCGTCGCTAGCCCTGTGGTTGTCGCAGCTAGGGCAGACAATGCCGGCGCGGCCAGGACTGAAGGCGCCATGGCCAGGGATGAGGCCGGCAGGGCTGCGGCTGCTTGGCCATCCATGGAGAGCGGGCGACCATCCTCTTCGTCGGGTGGCGGCGTTCCATCCATGGGCGTAGAGGGAACGGCGGTGTCGGGATTGGGGGTTACGGAGGGAACGGCGGCAGCGGGTTGGGGAGGGAACGGCGGCGTGGGGGGTTAGGGCGTCGGGAACATGAACGATCGGGCAGATGGAACGACGTCGGGCAGATGAAAAGCTCGATCAATGATACGTAAGGCCAGAAGGACAAAAGGGTCAATTTAGGAGAGAAATACATATATTTAGATTAAGAAAGAGAAGAAATACACCAAATGTCATGGAAATCAAGAAGTCAACATTTTAACGAAGATGATGTTTGGAGTCCTATATCTGCGAAGCGCATTGTTTGGAGTCCTAATATGCAATTTTCTCCGCTGGAGGCCTCCTATATTTCTGATATTTTCCCCATCCTTCTTCACATAAGCTCCCCTCTGCTCACAACTTATACAGCTTACATTAAAAAAATCTAGCATGAACCATGAAGTATCAAATAATGCAAAAAAAAGAGAACTGAACAATGAAAATTTCACCTCTCAGTTCTGGCTAATCAAGAGCCGGGCATGCTGGCCACTGATGCTGTCAGAATTGTCGAGTACGTGAAATCATTCAGAGCAACACCATCTTCTCTCATTCTGCTAAAAATAGGAGCAGCGAGAGGTGTGTCACCGTTCTGAATGCACTCATTAATCATAGCAGTCCATGAAACAACATTCTGAGATCCTGGCATCAACAAGCCAACGAATAACTGAACTAAAGCATTTTTTGAAAAATGAAATGACATAAGCAAAATTGAAACCTACTTACAGAGTTTCAAGCAATGTACAACCACCAATCTCATCAAGGATCTGTCTTGAGTCCATTTGGACTTCAAATTGCTAAACACAACCCAACATACGGTGAAAAAAAGTTAAGCACAATTCAGCATCTGAAGTTCATATGAGGAAACAATGCATTGCAGACTGCCAAATTGCCAATGGCTGCGACAACTCTCGTTCGAGAGGTAGCCAGATATTACCAGACAGTGGCGAAGCTAGAAGAAAATTGAGGGGGTGCGACTAAAAACCCGAGTGATTAAGAAATCTACGTCCTTGCATTTCGAAACGACGAACCATAGTGTTATTTTTTACTTTCGTCATCTCTTCTTTCTCCACGTGACAAATAAGACAATTATTCATAAATTTATCACCAATGCGATTGCGTAAAGTTGTTTTCACAATCATTATACCTCAAAAAAAATTCCTCTCAACTATCTATCACATTTTTAATCTCCACCATTCTCTGAAAATGCTTGCTTGTAATTCTCGGCATAATTGGCACTATCAAGCTCTGGTGTTTTTGTTTTGGATGGAAAACCGTTCCATCAGCCTAATAAAAGAACATATAAATTTGTACTCAAACACAAATAACTAGCCTAATACTGTAGACCGTTGTAAAAGTAAAACAATAACCCGTTATAGCTTTATGCCCGCATTGAAACGCAGGAATTTCGTAGAAAGTGTATAATAATTTCAGAAACAGTTTATTTTTCATAGGAAAAATGTAGGAACGGAAAAAAAACTCATATTCCAAAGGGACCTAATTTGTATGTAAATTCAGATTAATTAAGAAAGACAAAAAAGGCATGGCTGCATCGGAGCATCTAATTTAGTTTCATACCAGCTTAAATCCTTGATGCTTGTTGGGTGTTGGCATGTTGGGTAAGCGACGGAGCCGGTCCTGCTCGTAGCTGGATAGTTGTGGCCTGTAGAGTAGCCAGCCTCCGGGTGACGCCGTGACGGCAATCTTCGCTGGATGCGCAAGAGCAAGGCAAGGGCGCCGCGGGCCTGCAGAAGCCAGAAGCCGAGAGGACGGAACGACGCGGACTTGCTGAAACGGAACGATGGAAGATGGAACGATGTATCACAATAACAACCGGAGGTTACGAGATACGTGTTAAGTAATCTGCTGCTCCCATGTGTGAACGCACGACAGGGGACAAGCGCTGAAAAAGGTTCCCCGCTGTTGTACTGTAGCCGCTGCAGGGGCAAGCGCCGAAAGGCTCTCCAGCCGCACTGTAGCCACGGCAGGGGCAGACGCTAAAGTCAGCCCTGCTGTCACATCTAATCACTGTAGGATTAGATGGGTAGAGTTGTATATATAGCTTCCTACTGCAACTTAGTAAAGAGAGCGAGTTCAGTTTTGCCATCTCCTCTGCAGAGCTCCGGGCAACGCTGGTACTTGTGTTGTATGTGTGCTCTGTTTTCCCTCCCTTCTTCTACCTTTAGCCATAGTATGTGGTCGGCAGCTCCGGTGAGTGGTCGACTCAACCATTGCGAAGATCTAGGGGCTAACAAAACAATCGATCTTGCAGTTCCAGGCCTTCCATAATCGAAGTTGCAGGTTGGGCCGCTGGGCTTTGGGGGGTGCAGTCTATTAGACTTTGGGGGATGCATAAAGGGTCAAAATCTGAGTACTATAACTTGAAAAGAAAAATCAGGGTGGTGCATCTGCACCCACGGTCAATAACTGGGCTTCGCCCCTGTTACCATTGTAGCCTTTACCTTCTCCATTCTCACGCTCTTAAACACCCTCCGGCACTGCGCAAGCAAGCCGAGAGGAGAGGGTGCCGCCGCCGCCACTTTGCTGACCCCCCAACGATTCGACTATTACGCGCACCTCTTCAGGTCGGTGGAGCGTGTAGCGTGGGAGTGGGAGAGCGCCGTGCGGGTAGGAGCGGAGGAGGCGCCGTATGGGAGGGAGTGGAGGCGGCTCGGATTGTACGGATGTCGTCAGCGGCCGTGGTGGAGGCCCGGAGCTCTAGGTGAACAGGTGAAGCCAACATCGGCGGTGGCGGCGACAGCGGCGAAGATCGAAGGGAGCAGGCGGCGCACCACGGATCGAAGCGGGTTAAAAAAAGGAAACAAGACGACATTACCGGTGGGTCGGTAGGCGTGGGCGGGTATGCGGCGGATGGGTGAAAAAAAATTGCGAATGAGGCGTCGCCCGTAGTTCTACAAGGGCAGGAACGCGTAACATCTTACGCGTATGCGTAAGACTTTAACAGGTCCACCATTATATTGATTGTGCACCGTTAGATCTAAAGACAAAATAAATCCTATGGTCGTAATATGAGGTGGGTAAAAGAATTAGGTGAAAAGCTATTCTCAATTTCTTGGAGCAAGTTACAACAAAAGAAATAATATTTTATGTAAAATTTTGAATAAGACAAGTTCTCAAATATTTGGTCAAAAGTCAAATGAATTATAATTTGAAATAGAGATGAAATTAATGTATTTATTTAGTATTATTTTTTGTATGTAGATTTATTATTAAACTTTAAGTTGGTAATTTAGGGAAAAACTATATTGGAGTTCGATATTTTTACGCAGGGTGTGCCTAGACTAGAATCAAAGATTCTGATAGGCGACAATACAGTTCCCTCAGAATCTGATTCGCGAGCCGACGATTTTGATTTTTATACATGGGCCTTCTTTACATTGCAAAATTTTATAATCTGGACATTGTAGCACGTTTCGTTTGTATTTGACAAACTTTGTCCGATCATGGACTAACTAGGCTCAAAAGATTCGTCTCGTAATTTACAACTAAACTATGTAATTAGTTATTTTTTTACGTACATTTAATACTCTATGTATGCGTTCAAAAATTAATGTAATAGAGAGAATAAAAAATTTATAACTCTGAGCCAATCTATTCCTTCCATTCCACCGGCTGACAAAGAGCCAGGGAAACCCCCAACCCCAACCCCCCCCAAAAAAAAAAAAGGTGCGCGTGGGACTTTCCCTTTCTTCGCCGAAGCCGAGCGAGCGAAACCCCAAACGGCCAAACCCAAACCCAACCCCATCTCTCATCTCTCTCTCTCGGCCTCGCCCGCCCCCTCGATCGATCGGCCGGTCCGCGATGACGCCGGGAAGCTCGGCCGCCGGATCCGGCGTCGTCGGTGAGCAACCTTCCTCCTCCTTCCTGCTCGCGCCCCCTTCTCTTCCGCCCCGACTGTATATTTTTTCCCGCGATCTTTCTTTTAGCCCCGCTGATCGCCACGAACTGAGCGATTCGATTCTTCCTGATCTTTTAGCGGGAGACGGTATTGCGGTAGTTCTTCTGCATCTGGCGTCTCTTGCTCCGTGGACGGAAGGGAATATGCACAGTTGGGGTTATAATAGATGTGGGGAATTTCTGTTTCGGGTGATTGATCAGGCGGCAGCGACGCTAGTCGATCCCGTCTGCTGGCGGTAGGATTGCCGTGGGATTGAATCGGTTCATGTGTGGAATTGATATGGAGGAGCAAGAAAGGTGTAGCACACGACACATATTGGATCCGATCCCAGTATGTGGTGATGCTTCCCTTTGGTTTTGGCCAAGCAGATAATCATAATGGCACTAGGTACCTCCACATGCTAGGCCATGGTTTACGCATTTGGCTTATGCTGCACAAGCCACAAAGCGTATTTCCAGTCATGCTCTGCGTATTTGTTCTGCACAGATGGTCACTTACTTCACTGCACCTGTTCTTGATGATTGTGAAGATACCTTGCATCATCAGGATCTGTTAGAACAGTCATGTGGCATGAATCTACCTATTTGGCTGACTGTAAGGGTGAGCTACTACCACGTAGAAGGGGAAATCTGATTCTTTATGCATCTTGCATTTCGTATATATGCACATTTGAGGCTTTGAACATAGAACTTGCATCGAGACTGTCACACCCTCTATTGGTACTTTTGTTTCTGGGTGTGCTTATATAGTAATTATAACTCGCAAGTCTCCTGGTATTGGATGTTGACTGAATTGTTCGAGTCGTTCTGAGTTGCCATGTGTTAAGTACTTGTTTTTTAAAGTACAAAGAATTGCATAGTTATGAGTACTTCATACTAAATATCCTCATGTTATATTTCTGATGAAGCTTTTGATTCTTCAATTGCTGTTGTCTCATTTTAAGCTCTGTTTAGCAATAGCTCTATGCAAGTATGCATTTGTCTTCTATGTCACAAGAAACCAGTAACTGGCCTACTATGCACTTTCCATTGATAGAACAATGTCAATGAGCCTGTTGTGCCTTTTTTTTTTCTTGTCGAAGCGTAGCAATTATATTCACGAGTTGCACAAATAGAATGTATACACTAACCTGACTATTAGCTTATCATTTGTTCAACCACAGAGCAAACTGTTTTTTTTTCGGTGCGATCATGTGCCCACTATATTACCAAACAGATATTCAGAATATATTGAATCACTTCTTATGGGTTTATTAATATGTAAATTTGCACAGTTCCTCGGAACTTCAGGCTCCTAGAAGAGCTTGAGCGTGGAGAGAAGGGCATTGGAGATGGGACAGTGAGCTATGGAATGGATGATGCAGATGACATCTACATGCGATCATGGACCGGCACTATTATTGGCCCACATAATGTGAGATCATAGTTCTTTATTTAATCTATCTATATTTTGCCATTTTCTCAATATAAACCAGAGTAAAAAAAACCTTGGTGCAAATTTTTCCAAGATCTTGAAGCCACCTATTTGTTGTTTTGCATGATTTGAGAAGTACCTGGTGTTGGTGAAACATGTCAATTGAAATTTTGTAGTAGTACAGAAAATTCTAACAGAAGTTTGGATGGGTAACTGGCTACTGTTTGGGTCCAGGAAATATCTCAAACCTGCTTTCTTACTCAGCTGTAAAGTATGTAAAGAATCCTTCTGTGTTGGTCAGTGTTCTTCATTGAATGTCGCTGGTTATCTTGGTTCACGTTTGGTGGGAAAGAACTAGTGACAGGCAACAATACATGCATGCAGAGTATTGTGATATACATGTGACTTCTGTGATCAAATGCACTATAGCCTTTCAACTCACTTTTGCTCACATGAGACCTGCAATAAAGCTGCACTTTTTTTTTTTTTGACCCTGATGAAGTTGCACTTTCCTACATTTGTATTGCTTATTTCAGTTTATGTTGAGTTTGTCTTAATCTCTTTTCTTTCCTGATCTGTCAAGACCGTCCATGAGGGTCGCATTTACCAGCTGAAGTTGTTCTGCGACAAGGACTACCCTGAGAAGCCACCATCTGTTCGATTTCATTCAAGAATAAACTTGACATGCGTTAATCATGAAACTGGAGTGGTAACCTCTTTCTGTCTTTGTGTGGTTGTGGTTGGTGCAGAATACGAGTTTCAGGTTTGATATGTGGGATACCTTCTCTGATTTTGCTATATCTATTTGGTTGAGGTCATGTAGGTTGACCCGAAGAAGTTCAGTGTTCTGGGGAACTGGCAGCGCGAGTACACAATGGAATACATCCTAACCCATCTCAAGAAAGAGATGGCATCCCCACAGAACCGCAAGCTAGTACAGCCTCCGGAGGGGACATTCTTCTAAAGACGGCAGCAACTCATGTCCATCCATGGTGACTCCAGAAACAGCTACTGCACCTGGTTTCTATATTTTATATATATCTAGTTGAATCTCCCAGATATCTGTGAACCACCGAGATCGAGTACAAGCAGACTTGTTCGTTACAATTTGCCTGGTGGTTGCTAATGATATGGGATGAAACGGTTGCCGGTTTGGCTGCTATTAAGGTTGTGTAATCTGCTGGCCAATTTCAGCTTCTTAATGCCATTATGATGAATCTTCAGCCATTTGCTGTTCTGCCTTGACTTTTGTAGCATTCGGTTTTAAGGATAAAACCAGATACATGTTATATGTGAGCTTAGAAAGTCAAATATCATATATAGCTATAAATAAAGATAATAGTAATAGACAATGATTAATATATAATATACTTAGTATAAAGGACATAACCTTAGATAGCAAATAGCGGAAAGAAAACTTCGATTTTCGAGTGAAGACTCTAATTCTACGGGGACAACTGACTGGTTGATCATAAGCCTAATTTCTTTAAACTCTAGCAATCTAGTATCTATTCGAGAATTTTATCCAAATATTTAAAAAGTAAAGCAAGCGTAAGTACATGTCGTACTTAACAAATATAATATAGGGTTCATGAGGCTCAAAAGGTTGACACTGGTTTAACTGCAATTAACTTTTAATGAGTCATCTTTTAGTAATTGGGTGGCAACAAGTTTATTTACAAGCCTATATAAACACATGATCAGATAAACATGAATAATGAACAACATAAACAGTAATCATTAGTGTGCATCTTCATCATCGGTACCATCCGTGTTCTTCATCTATTCTGTAAGGGTCCAAGGCCGCTCGTGACCGTTAGCACGGCTGATATACCAGTTTTACACTCTACAGAGGTTGTCTACAGAGGTTGTACACTTTCACTGTGAGTCGTGATTTACCCTTTCACCTAAGGCGGTCAACCTATTGACCCACAATGAAGGTCGGCAGGGTTCACTATGAAACCTTTTAAAGGTTTGTCTAACAAGTTAGGGCCGCCAATGTTTCTCCATCAATAAGCATGAACCCCCCTCCAAGAAGTGACTAACAAAATACCAAGAAACCAAAGTGCACCCTCTTAGCAAACCGAGATCATATCTGTCGGAGCCCCTCTTACGCCATAAAGATAACCACTAACAAGCTAGAAAAGGTCCTCATACTGAGCTAAAGCCAGAGCTATATAGCCCTCACAGTTTAACTGTAAAGTCCCGGATGTTCGCTTATAGATAAGTCATTAGGGAGAGGAATCTAGAGCACCATAAAAGCATCCCAATGCTCTAGCCCCTTGTTCCATGTTGCTAAAAACATCTTTTAGTGTTTATTGCATAATCTATTAGTCAAGTTACAAGATCATGGTCATAGTTTGAGCATTAGCATCATACTACCAAATGCAATAACCCAAAGGTGTCTAAGGAATCTAGGATATCAAATAGCTAGAATAAAAAAATTACTACGGTTGCCAAGGTAGACACATGCATATGTTTAAATTATTAAAGTGAATAGGACAACAAGAAAAATCCTATGTTATAATTGCCTTAAACTTAGATCCTTCTTGTAGTCCAAATCTTTAAAGGAACTCCTTATTGATCAACACGTAAAGCTCACCGACTGGACAAGATTATAAAGCACCACACAAGCATCCATACAATCATACACGAAGCAAATGATAGAACTAAATCAGAACAGTACACCAAACATAATAAACAACAAGTAAAAAGGTTTTAAAATGTTCTACACGTTACTACGAACATACAGATGCGAAAAGCACTCTAATCAGAGCTATAATGAAAAAGTTATGAATTAAATAAGATTTCCTTTAATAAAATAATAGATTAAATCTAGCCTCGAATTTCAAAAGTTAAAAATATATTTAATAGTAACTTGAACATGTAGATTACTCAATTACTAATCTAACGCAACTTGAACGGGTCAAATCGAAGTTAAAACGGAGATTTTATGGCCTACCGAAGGTAGTGGCAATTTTGTAAATAGATGGAACTTGATTTTCAAATTTAAAATAAATAAAATCCAATTTTAAATCTTCCCAAGGACTGCGGGTATTATTTCATAAAAAGGCAGGGATGAAAACAGAAGAAAGAGGGACCTCTTTTAAATATTGTTGAACATAGTTGGACTACGGATTGATTTCAATGAAGGGGAGGGGCTCTTTTGCAAAAGGGGATAGGCGAAGGGGTATCGGCCTCTGGTGGCCGTTGGATCTGAATTGGATGGTTTGGATTAGATAGAGAAGGGGAGGGGGAGTACTGTCGAGCCAGAACAGTAGTAGGACGTCGACGTATTCGCTGGCGATGGAAACTCTAGGGGCCTTAATCAAGCTTGGGATTGGCACTGGGAGCTAGAGAGGGAAACGACGAACTCAACTCAGCGAATTACAGTGGCTAAGCTCGGGCAAAGGTGGCTAGCGGCGAGCAATGGCAGTGACAGAGCGACAATGACGCGGGGTAAGGCAACACAGAGCGATACATACAGAGATAAGGGGCTTGGCGTGCTCGCGAACACGACGCGAAGCTCAGGGATGCTCTTACCGTGATGGAGGAGCAGCTAATCGACACGGCGGTGTTGAACTTCTTCTCGGCGGAATCTAGACGGCGACGCTAGGGCACAGGCAGCGTGGCGGCTTGCTCTAGGGCTTGGTGGGGGCAAAACAGGCATAGGGTCGGTATTTAAGAGGCTCGTAGCGTGGGGCGAAAGCTACCGAGAGGGGGCATGGATGGGGCGAACACGGTCATGGCGGAGTCCGTGTCGAACACGAGCTATAGGTCGGGGATGGAGATGACTGGGCGGTCCCACCTGTCGGCATCGGCGAGTGAGGGGCCGAGAGGTCGATCCACCATGAGAGAGAGGCCTTGGCCACTGTCTGTCGAAAGCGGTGCGAAGCTAAAGCTAGGTCATGCTTGCGCTAGGCCTTGGTAGAAAAAGGGCCGAAAGAGAGGAGAAAGGAGGGGACTGGGCTGGCGCTAGGGAAGGGAAGGAGGGAGCACTAGGCCACAAGGTTTGGCGGCCCACGTGGGGAAGAGAAGGCCGAGGGGAAGGGCCAGGCTGAGAGAGGGAGGGGCGAGGGAGGCAGGCTGGCTAGGCCAGAAGCCGAGAAAGGAGAGAGAGTGAGGAAAAAATTCCTTTCTTTTTTTTTAAACATTTTTAAATCCAAATTCATATCAAATTCAAATTCTTTTGCAAATTTCAATCAAACCAAAGCATCACAAAAATAAATATACATCAGCATGAATACCTGTTGCTACCTTATGATAAATTTTAATTTAATGAAAAATATTGATTTCCTATGTTTCAATGAGCACAAAAAATACCAAATTAAATCTTTTTAGCCCTTTTTCAAAAAGAGCAAATTTTTAGGGTGTGACAACTTTGATCTTCAACCACATATTTGCCCAATTTTTTCAACTATGATTTGCACCATTGCTCTTGCTTTGACCATTTAAAGACAAAATAGGCGCTGGGGGAGGGCAATTGTGGAAAGTTGACAAAAGAGGCAAACGCGTGGTTAGGTTAAGTGAAGGCCAGAATCGATCATGCAAATTGGCTAAACAATCGACTTGGTGTACAAACACTAGGGGTTAGCAAACCAACGTCTTCTCCTGACCATTGTGTTGGGGATCTCTAAATTCTGTCGCTTGCGTGGAGCTTTTTTTGCACCATGTTTGGCCTGAGTCCATTGCACAATAAAAGGCTATAACTACTACTCTGCTAGCTTCGATTATAATAAGCCTTGCCATCTTGTAGCCTAACCTTTAAGCTACATTTGATGTATGGATTTTACAAAAAAAGCCTTTTATTTATATAATAATGAAAAAAAGTTAACAACGAACAACACCTAGCACACTGAAACACGTGTGCATCATAGTGGAGCTGCTAGTGGCGCCGTCTCGGAAGAAGACAAGCACGGGAGCAAGTAAGTTTAGGTTTTGGTTCTATTCACTGACCCTCGACCACCTACACAGCGAGTTCATATCCAAAGACAAAATGGGCTAGGCCTAGTTAATTACACCCCTGCGGCAACACAGGCCATCTTATGGGCCCATTAGCTAGTGTAGCCCAATATCTCTGCACAGCGAAGCCCAATACGTGGCATTCCCCCCTCCTTAAGTCACAGCGCGTCCTCCCAATGCTGATGAAGTAGACAGCTGGAGCAGCAACGGTGACACTAAAGATGTAGCTTCCCAGGTCGCCCAATGTGCCAGAAAGGATTCACGCTGCACCAATACAGAAGGTACCACATGATCACCAACCAAATATAAATGATGAGCCATTACCTGAGTGGGAGGTAGAGTCTCCAGAACTGAGAGCAACTGAAGGTCATCATCAATAGATAACTGCACATCTGAGGAAGAGCCTTTTTTTAGTTGTGCGGCATGAAGGACTGGGTGAATCTGACTTGCAACTGGTAGCTGTAGCTTATATGCCATGTCCAATCTTCTGGATAATGAGATAGGGACCGAAATACTTGTAGCAGAGCTTTTGATTTGTTCTGCGGGTCATAGATTGTTGAACATGTGGTTGCAGCTTGATATACACCCAGCCACCAACATCAAAAGAGCGCTCTTGGCGATGCTTATCAGACTGGTGTTTCATACATTGCTGAGCACATTTCATATTATGTTGGATATGCTGTAATATAGTGTTGTGAGACTGAATCCACTCTTCCATGTCAGGAACAGCACAAGCATTAGTAACAGTGATACCAAAGTGTTTAGGTGGGTAACCATATAGGGCTTCAAAAAGAGTATGGCCGTGGGCTGAGTGGAAAGTGGTGTTGTAACAAAACTCTGCTAATGGAAGCCATTATGACCATTTTTGTGGATAGGAGTGCACCATGTATCTTAAATAGGTTTCTAGGCACTAGTTAAGGAACTCAGTTTGGCCATCGGTTTGGGGATGGCAAGCAGAACTCATATTAAGAGTTGTGTCAGTGAGTTTGAAAAGTTCCTACC